GTCGTGCAAGACAGTGCCTTTAAATCTGTAAAATTCCCATTCTTCTACTACAGAACAAGCAAACATGAGAAATTCTTTTAAGTGCTCTATACATTACAGGGATTATATTACAGAGTATGGCTGTGTTAGTTAAAGTAGAACCTTTCTTTATCATGGTCAACACCAGACCTAGTGGACTTGAAGGGATTGTCCATTGCAGGGATGCATTGTACGTTGTGTGGACAAATTCTATAATTACCCCTTTCAGACTATTAATTTCAATACTCGTATAACCCTGTTGGATTTGCCACTCAACTATCAGAAAAATCTATGTGTGACACAAAATACAGGGAAACTCTGGGCCAAACCATGATCTTGGAAAAAACTTCAGGAATACTGTCTAGCAATCTACTTTAGCATGCTTGAGGACATGAATACTGAATCTTTGGAAAAAATGCAAAATTCACACAAACCAAGAACGATACTAAAGTATTCTCTCATGTTCCCACAAGAGAATTTTTAACCAATAATTTTATATTCCTAGTCAGCCAGCAAAATCAATCTTTGTTGGCAAACAAGACTAAAATACACTTACTGTGAAAGACGTGTATCTCTTCAGCAAAACTTCTCAGATGTGCCTGTTTGATTTGAAGGCAGAAAAAAAAAAAAAGGAGCCATCACTAAACTATTTAAGAAATTATTTCAGGCTGTTACTTATCTTCAGAATATGTTTATATAAACACTCTTGTGACACTCCCAGAAAAAACAGTGCACCCAGAGCATTTGGAGACAGAACACAATGTATTATCACAGTTTTAGTCACAAAGAATTCTAATACAAGTAGCCTGGTCATAACGTATTAATTACAAACCAGAGTGATGAGTGGCTTTCTCATAATTATCTGTCTACAGCAACAAGACTAGAAAAACTTTCAGAAGTAATTACAACAGGCAATAAATAATATACTATTTATTACACCACCAGTATACTATATGCTGCTATAATTCATAAAAAGTTGTGAAGTCCCTTGGTTTTCTAAGATATTGATTTTAAACTGAGCTATATTTTCAAATTACTAAATTTACATGAAACAATAATCCATGTACCAAAGTGAAGTTTTTCGTCAATTTAAGATGATACAACAGTGTCAATACACATAAAAGGCACAACTATATCTGTGTCCAGAATAAAATGCTGTATAAACTACTGTATCAGCTGTAACATACAAAGGGTAAAATGATGTTGTTCTGCCAAAAATAATGTACCTGTTTACAACCTCATTCAAATATATTCCTCTGTAAGTTTGTGAAAGCATGATAAGCAATGGCATAGAAGTGAAATGTTCAAGTTTTTTGATTCTCACACAGGCTTTTTACAATTATAACACTAATCTGGCAAAGCAGTGAATGTTTGCTAAAATGAAAGAGCTAGCTTTTTTAATATGTGTGGTTCAACAGCTTTTTACCTCTAATAGTAAAATCAGCATCTTCTCCATTTTTCCCGTTGTTCATTTAAATCTGCAGGGAGACACACAAACACAAAAGGTCTTATTCATGTTTTATGACAAAGTAATTACTTTAACTGTGACAAATTCCTGTAAAATATATAAAATTCTTTCAATCAGTAGGCAAGAGAAGTTAATTACCACATAACTGTATCACAGCAATTCAGTAGAAATATTACTGCTGTATTTCGACACTATATGTAGTTCCCCTGACAGGAAAATTTCCTTCTCAAGAAGTAAAGTTATATACATATGTAAACTTGTGATGTGCATGTAGAGTTGGTGATAAGGAAAGAAACCTTCCATTTCTTCTTCCACAGGGTGTGTTGTATTCCTAGTTAGAGGTCATTTGAGTAGAAATAGTGCAGGAGGAACAAGAACTCCAAACAAATACACAGACCAGATTTTATCCCATCTGCCACCCTGGTCTTACTACTTACTTAGTGACCTAAGGAAGGTCCATTCCAGTTCAAGGGTGGTCCCTTCTGTGGGTTCCTGTGTTACCTTTTAGCTTTCCTCCTGTTCTACCAGAAAAGGTTTCAGGAAGAAGTGAAGAGAGGAAGGCATGTCTAAGGACGTTGATGAACTTCTGGGATTGATCCTTCCAGGCTGTTTGCAGCTCAGACAGCAGCACCTCAAGGCTGCCTGAACATGAGAAAAATGAGTTACAGAACACGGAGGGAATGCCATAATCAGCGCTTACCCTGATGCTGCAGGAAGAACGGGGCATGGAACAAATTCTTTGCAACTCTCTAATTCTTTCCTTACCTTCCATGCAGGGCTATAAAAAAAAATCAAGGATTTGACCAATAGACACTTTCCCAGATGTAATATACCAGAGAATGAAAAAAAAAGAAAAAATAAAAGCATGATTATAATAGGCAACAGTAAACAATCAGATTTTCTCTACTTCTCTAACAGATTTTATTAATGCAATGTTTCCTCTAACACAGAGTACTAAATTGTTTTGTCAAGTGGTACAAGTGCATTTACAGATTCTTATTTGCTACAACTTGTATCTCAGCCAAAATGTTTTGCCAGTGTCTTTTAAAATATTATTTGACTAACAGTACAAAAGCCTCTACCTGAGTATCCCATCTGAGTGTCAAAGACAATAAACATTAAGCATCACCAGTCCATTTCTGAAAGTCAGATCCAAAAGGCACCGAGACATATCCCACACAAATCAGTTGGCAACAACGTAAGAAATTGGTCCTCTTTACTTACCACCACACAGACACAATTAAAGAGGCCATCGTAAAATATTCACTGTTCTGGTGTGAAAAGCTTTGCCCTTAGAGCTGCTTATTCAGGAAGCAACCCCAGGACAACTGGCAGGACAGCAGGTCAGAGCTCCCTGCATCTACCTCAGCGCAAAGACGGAGCAATTGCCAACAGCTCTGTAGCACATGACAGGAGAAACTGCAGCCCGCCAAGTTTTTGAGACAAAACAGCAAGAAACACAACTTCAGGTAGAGCAACCAAAGAGCATCATTTTTAATATCAAGAAAAAGAATAATTTGTGCTGGGTGAGTCAAGCCTTATTGCTAAACCAGCTTAAATTAAAGCAGGTGGCAAATGCTATACTCTGTAACCAATGAAAGCACAAAAATCAGTTTCACAAATAATTTCTTAGCATTTCACTTGTACCAAGCAGGAGATTCGGAAAAGGTTATTTTAATTAAAAACTTTATTTTTCATTACAATTCACAGTTTATACATGGCAAAACAAACCCTTGCCATGTGGACATTCAGAACACTGTGCTGGGGAGACAAGGATCTTTGTTATAAGCTGTGTCATGGAACCTCCTTTGTTTTAAAAGCATACTCTCTGTAAATGTTAATTGACTGATATTTACACTTAATTGACTGAATTTACATATTAACTTATATTTTATTAGAAAACAAGCTAAGCATCCAAAATACATTAACATTCATATCTTGCATGTTATCTAATGGTCAGAGATGCTGTAAGATTTGCCACTTGAATCATGCCCAATCAGCAAAGTCCCATTCTTTAATTTATACAGAGCCTAAATTATTCTTTTAAGGCCTGTTCTATTCATTTTATGTACAGCCAGGTTACAATAGACTAACATAAGAAAAAAAAATTGCAAAATTATCCACTCCATCCTGCATTTTTTCTGAATCTCATGTACACCTATAAGCAAAACAGAAGATACAAAATTAAAGTGTTTTCTTAAAACCAATTAAAAAACCCCCATAGTCTGGTTTAGATATGGTTCTTGTCAACCTATCCTGTCTGAACAATCATCAGTATCCAGGTTGCGCTATTTATCAGCTCTTCTTCATGCCCGCACTTATATTCAGAGCCATCTCTATTTGAAATGTAGAAAGTCACAGTGATACCACGTTAGTCACAGCTCCATTGCAGGCAGCCACTGTACAGTGTGACATTCAGGAAAGCACTTCCAGCAGGATTCCTGGGTAAAATATCATATGGCGTCTGGTGTGACTTGACTTACAGAGGAAGTTAAGAATCCTTTTCAAGGAGCAAATATCTAGCAGATGGTTTATGCTTACTAAAAAAAAAAAAAAAAATCACTGTATTTTTCTGCATTGTTTTCTGGTTGTGGTTATTAGAATACAGCAGTTAAAAAGCCTCTCCTCTAAGTAATAATTTCTATTTACTTGTGTCATCTACCAAGTAATTAAACAATAGATAAGCTGCAGATTTTTTTTGGTACATCTGACACAAAGACAACTCCTGAACACTGCTTGAAAAAGATAAGACCGAAAGAGGGCCTGCAAATTCTACAAGTCAGTGTGAACAAGTATCAGCTGGACCTGAGTAAAATAAAATGCTTCTGGGGGACTTTTTCAATTTCTGAAACTGCAGTGCCTTTAAATTTAGAGCTAAGAACATCATTTGATGATTGTTGAGTTTTGGCATTCATTCATGCTGGTTGGTATCTTCACAACAGACACCTTTTAAAACACCATCATTTCAAGAAGAATGAAAGCTCAAATGAAACACATTTTTCATGAAAAAAACCTAACAAACAAAAACCATAGAGGAACTGTAGAGGTTCTGGTTCTTCAAAAGATAAGGCACTGACAAAAATTTCTTAGGTAAAAGGCTGCATAAGAATTTCTTGCCATTTACAAATGTGTTGTAGTCCAGAAATGGTCCATTCCTAGGCTCAGTAAGGTAGACCCTGAAATTTTAAGGACTGATCCCTCAAAGCTACATTGTTACCATAAACAAATGTGATTCATTCTTGAGGCCATGTGGCACGTTAGGAGATGTGAAAAACAGTCTGGGCAGATAAAGGCAGAAGATGTTGCTTGTTCCAGCATCTTTCGATAACAGAAGTGCCATTCATCTTTTTGTCTTTGAAGAGATTTGATGGTAACTCTGGACTGTATTTTCTGTGAAACTCATGCACACATATAAAAATGCTATTAGCATTGATCATTGACAGGGTGGGGAAAAAAATGGTATATGGCTAGTGTCAGCCAAGAGCTTCCCAAGGGCGGGGATCCAAAGTCATGGCTACTTAATGTTTTCAATAACAGCTATTTCTTCTGCTGCACAGTGCGGTGTCAAACCATTCATGTAAATGTTGTCTGTCTTTGTTAGAGCTGGCAAGATGTCTTTCTCACTGGTGAGATGGTTGACTGACAGGGTTCTCTTGCAGGGAGTCAGGTCTTGGTTGTGACTGACGGCAAGTTCTGCAGAGAGCTTCCTCTTGATAGAGGTAGCCCGCTGGAACTTGTCATAGATCTCCACGCTCAGGCGCCTTCGAGTTTCTTTAAACTCTGCAGTGACATTGGCTGTCCACTCTGCAGCATGGGCTCTAAATTCCCCTACCTGTGGTAAAAGTGAGGAAAAAAAAGAAAAGCAGCATTACAAGGACTTCAGACACTGTTTAGTCCCAAGAGCCCAGTGAGAGCACAATGTGGCTTTGGGCTGGCAAAGAGCTGCTGCTGCTGCCAGCACAGATTTGTCATGTCACAAACTCATTCTTTTATTGTTAGCAACTGAAAAAGAAATGTCACACTGCTAAGAGTTAACAACAGTTCAAAAACACAATAAAAGTCTTGTCTGCTAATACTTCTTGCTTTTAATTACAGGCAGCCAGCAACACAGGAAAGCTACAAAGCCCTGACAGCTGTACAGTACCCAGCTGGTCAGGGGATGCTGAAATCCCAGCAGTCCAGGCTGTTATGTATTTTTACTAGGGTGCAGGGTTATTTATGAGCACTTTTACTGTATCTGGAATGATCCAGAGAGACCTGGCAAAGATTTTTCTAAATTTGGACAGAAAAGCTTTTTTAAAGTAAAACATCAGCTGCCTGTATTCCCTCTTGTCTGTGCTTGCTCAAACATAGCACCAATACAGCAACAGTTCCAGTCATGTCAACAACATGTCTGCTTTTACAACTGACTCCATTGCAATGACCTACTAAAAAGCAGCTTGATGACAACTGCAAAGCAGGACTTGAGAGACCTGTTACCAATTACACCCTGGAGGTGAGTATTTCCCCTGCAATGTGCAGATCTCCAGTCAGGTTGGCTGCAAGGTACCAGTTTATACCATCACTACAATTTCATATATGTATGTTGATCCCTGCTGCCTGCTCAGTTCTCTTTATCCTTCTATTGACTGCCTCTATGGAAAGACTGATCTACTTTCACTTTACCATCATCTTTACTCTGTAAGATTTCTTGTCACCATTTCAATGTTTTAGTACTAGGGAAGTTGGAGCATCCCATGAGCCCAGGCTGCAAGGGTAGGGTTGAGGAGGGGGAGAAAGGCAGTTGCTGGCGTGGAATCCCAGATTATCCTCATTTTTCCTCGGCTACAGTATGAGGTAGACTGGGCAGCTCACCCAGATAATCATCTGAGGTGAACTGTGGCCTTGTAATTTATATGCTGTTTATATTTTGGTGAGCCACTGGAAGAGGCTGCCTAAGGAAACTGTGAATGCTCCATCCCTGGCAGTGTTCAAAGTCAGGTTAGACAGAGCCTTGGACAGCCTGGTCTAGTGTGAAGTGTCCCTGCCCATGCCAGGGGGTTGAGAGTGGATGATATTAAGGTCCTTTTCAACCCAAACCATTCTATGATTCTATTTTTGCTTATATTTCAACCAAACCACTGTTACAATATTAAGTTAGGTAACTAAAGGAGGCACCATTTGAGAAGGTTATCTCATCATAGCTGTAAAAGGAATAGATTGATTCTCTTTAAATCTCTGCTTTGTAGGCAATTAATAGTTGGAAGTTACAGCACAGGGAAGATATATAGACTGTTCCAAAGCAAAGCATTTCAGATAAATTAACCCACTTAAACTAATTAGTCTAACTGGCACTGCTCAGTCCAGAATTTCAATCATTAGCAGGCAAGCTTGGACTTGGTGAGCAGAGAAATTAATAAAAACCAAACCAAAAAACAGAAACAGAGAAATTTGGGGGTAAACCATCAGAGAAAAGTGGCCAATGGGCTTATTCATGCTTCGTGGTGCAGTGAAAAACAGGAATATAATGACGGTAAAAAATAAGCAGCCTACCCAGGAGTGACAGGGTATCAGGAAAAATTTCCCCCTCCAGAAACAAAAAAAAAAAAGATCTCTTTACCCAGGGGTGCTTTTATTACATTTGTCTCAGCTTCAGTGAATTACACAGATGACTAACATAGACCCATTATGTATATTTTCTAAAACAAGGATATTATCTGTAATATACAGAGGACTTGCCCAGCTGCATGATTATTAGTATTTAGATTGTGCAATTAGGGTCAGACACACTGCACTTCTGATCTGAAAATAATGAAATCTGTAAATGCTGAAATATTTCAGCTGCTCCAATATTTTTATTTGTAGTAAACAAGTAATAAAGATAGGATAAGCTGTATCAGTGCACACCCTTGGGCAGCTTTGTCCTTCTCCAAAGCTTTCCTAAAAGCAGGCTGCTCATGGTCATAGAATCATAGAATAGTTAGGGTTGGAAAGGACCTTAAGATCATCTAGTTCCAACCCCCCCTGCCATGGGCAGAGACACCTCACACTAGACCATGTTGCCCAAGGCTCTGTCCAGCCTGGCCTTTAACACCGCCAGGGATGGTGCATTTATCACTTCTTTGGGCAACCCATTCCAGTGCCTCACCACCCTCACAGTAAAGAACTTCTTCCATATATCTAACCTGAACTTCCCCTGTCTGAAGCATACTTCTGTCCAGGGGAGTGAAGAACCAGCATGCAAGTTCCTATTTCACCCTACACATTTGTACCTTTCATCAGCTATGTAAGCATTTGCTAGACCAGTTAATTTGCTCAGGCACACATCTCTGGCATTGCATATTTTCACATTCAAGGGATGTTACCAGACTGGCAACTTTAAAATTGTGTCTTAGCAACTTACTGGAAGCTATGAGCATCTTGAACTGTTTCCCCATATGCTTTTAAAACTTGTTTTTACTAGTAGTTTCATTTCACACTTCCCTCATGTTTTCCCAGCAAAAGAAAAACAGTTGGCCATGCTCCTGAAGAAAGCAAGTCTATGTAACCCTTAGGACAGGCTTAGAATTCCCCCTTCAGCTCACCTCACTGCTGATGATGGACCTGTCTTGTACAGGGCAAGCTGTTCTATTTTAAGTTTTGCACATATAAGTTATTCAGAAGAATTTTAAACCTGTTAGTTGTTAGGATATGTGGTGACTAAATTCCAGTTAGATTTCTTTTGGGAAGCAAGTTTATGCAGCCAGCTAAAGAACATCATTAGATATGCCATTGGAGAGGGGCTCATGTTCCAATTAAAGGTGATGTGGAACATGAACATGGTGACTCCATTCTGTTTACCTGTAGACCAGAGCTATGATGCTGTTTTATATTAGAAATCATAGGGGGAAAAAAGAATAAAAATGCAGTGCTATTTCTAAGCAGAACTGAAAATGCATTAGTAGTAAACCAGAGGTAATTGGCACAGCGTGAGAAACTAGAATGAGTGCTGCATGAACTGTGCCTGCCCCAGATTACTGCTTTCAGCCCCTAGCTTTTGTGTGAACTGAAATGCACTCAAAAATGTTATCTCTTCATAATAAAACTTCTAATTCCATAGCACTTATGGGCTCAAGCACAAAAGGTTATAGGAAAAGAAATGTGCAGTTTTTAACAACTAGTATACATAAGCAATATGCTCTTCTAATTTTATCCCTCCTTTATCCATATGGGCATTTCTGTGTATGTTCGGGTTCTTTTTGTCCTTAGGGTATGACATTTCATCATAATGCATTTCAGCCCCTCTTCATCTAGGGGCTGACAGTCACAAAATGTCTTATTCAAAGTGATCAAAATGCCAGTTGTCCATGCTACTCAAATAAAGAGAATAATCTTAACATACCTTCCTATTGTAACAACTGTTTGCAGTTCTCCAGTTCTCCTGCCTCATTACAGCACACAGCTCTGTAGACTTCGCAGCTGTCGTATTTTGGGCAATGTGATATGAGGATGAGGCCTTAGTCACAGAAGTTATTGACAATTAAGTCCTTTACATAAGGCTGAACAACACAAAGTATTTCAAAAGTAATAGGAAAAACATGTCATAGGGATAGCACTTGGCTCAGCCACACAATAAGTAGCACTTTTCTGGTGATGATGCCCATGCCTAACCTTCTGGGAATAGAAATGCCAGCAGTAATGGGGACACAGTCTCTAGCCCACCTCTAGGATTGGCTTCCTCCACATCAAAATCCAGATTAGACTTAAAGTTGTTAGACATAGTTCTCAGGGAGCATCATCTCTAACCTATTAACACTGTACTTTGAACATCAAGAGCTAGTAACTTTATTAGGCATTTATGCAGCAATATTCTTACAGGTCTAGGGAAGATAGGTCTCAATGACAAATTTAAGAAATACGGTAATGGTAACAACTAAATATTCCACACAGCACACTTCACCACAAAAAAAGATACTTTCCTATCAAATAAAAAATATTGAGTCAATTCCTCGCCCAGCACAGGCAGCCTGGCCTCCAGCTACCACTGCAGATGGGCCTGGATATCCCATACACTGTATCATATCTGTCAGCTCCATGGGGATGTCTGAAATATCCTGAGCCATCTCTAGTAGCATCTCTAAATGTCTACATTAAGGTGTTTCTGTCTACCTGTAGCGGAAATGTCACATTTACTCTATTAGGATATAATGAAGAATAGCCTCTGAACAATTTTGAAGTGTATCTACTCATTTCTATTAAAGTCACTTTTGATTTTTGGGGGGTTGTCTGTTTTTAACTATACGTTAAAAAAAGTACTGCATGAACTTCCTGTCTGTCCAGACAGTTCCCAGGCTGTGCACACGTTATCACCAGTACCATTTAAAGACAGACATACTGAATTTGACAGAACTGGGAAAAAACATGGACATTGAGCAACCCATCTAAATTAATAATGACCTAAAACCAGCTCTCAATCAATATCACTGATGAGACAACAACTCTATTCATTTTCATCACCACCATGTTTTAGCTTCCCACTCTCTAGTTGAGCTCCATGCTTGGATAGAGGCCTGCAGCATAACCCAGAATATAAGTATGCCCAAAAGGATGTCACTGTTAAAAACAAGCAAAAAACACCAGCCAAAACCCACATTTGAAAATACTGAATCACATGCTTCATTGGTCAGTACATTTACTTTAATTCCTTACACTTGTCAGGAGTTTGGGGATCTTCCTGGAGACTCCACACAAATATCCAAGTAATTATAAAACTCAAACTGCCCACCATGCAGGAGGACGACTCATCCTACTATGTGTGGTCTGGACAGCACAAGCCATGTAGCCATAACCTTCACAAGAGTAATCTGGCGTTTG